ATTCTATTCTATTCTATTCTATTCTATTCTATTCTATTCTATTCTATTCTATTCTATTCTATTCGTGGTGCATAAAATGTCCACTAGCTAGACGTTGCAATTTCTCTTATCCTAAGACATTCTTGTAAAGGTGCTACAAAATACCTTTGGTTCGATGTACCTCAAAAGCAACCTGTTTAAAATGTATTGGTGGGTCTATGACAATTCACAGCGGTAAACTTGCTATGGCCAACTTGCTGTGGGGCAAGAGCAACACTAATACCAAAGAAATGGTAGAATAGAATCATTAAAGAAAGGGGGCAAAAAGGACAGAATAAAATAGGAAGAAAAAAAAATTAAAAAAAAATATTTATTTTAAATACTTAAATTGAATGGCTAAATTATCCTGCAGTGACTTGTCCTGCAGTGAGTTTGCCATGGTGAGTTGTCCCATGGTGAGTTGGCTGTGGTGAGAGTTGGCCACAGCAAGTTGACTGTGACAAATTGTCCTGTCCCACCTATTGGCACCAGTGGTAGGATTCAAAAATGTTTACTACTGGTTCTGTGGGCGTAGCTTGGTGGGTGTGGCAGGGGAAGGATGCTGTAAAATACCCATTTCCACCCCACTCCAGGGGGAAGGATACTGCAAAATCCCCATTCCCTCCCCACCCCACTAACCTACTTTCCAGCTCCGTTCTCCTGTGCAGGGCAACAAAAGACCCAGCCAATCAGCTGGGACTCAGGAGGCAGCGAATAGATGGGGGCGGGGCCAGTCAGAGGTGGTATTTGCTGGTTCTCCGAACTACTCAAAATTTCCACTATCAGTTCTCCAGAACTGGTCAGAACCTGCTGACTACCACCTCTGATTGGCATTTGACACAAAGTGATGCTGGCTGCATCTCTTTACCTAAGGCAGGGCTGTCAAACTCGCGGCCCACGGCCAGATGCGTCATGTGCTGGCCCCACCCACACCCAGTTTAATGAAGAGGGAAAAAAGTCACGATACATCACATGACAACACCGTGATGATGCGAGTTTGACACCCCTGACCTAAGGGATCCAGCTCTGATCTGAAAAGGGAGTAAAATTTCAGAAGTTTGGATTTGGCCAGAAATTGGATTCTGGAGAAATTCTAAAAAAAAAAAGCTATTCAAATATTTTGGAAACATGTAATGTATCCCCAAATTGTTGCAGTCATTTTTCTCCCACAGGAGGGAAGTTTGAAAGAGATTTGTTGAAATCCATGAGCTGCAAACAACTGTCCTCCTGCATAATTCTCTCCGAGATGCTGCTAATGCAAATGCAAACACACACACACACACACACACACACAAGTGCACACACACACAACAAATTGGTTGATGTTTTTTTCCCCAAATCCTAATCTGGAGCAGAGTCAAAGACATTCACTTGGTAAGAGGCAGATGTTCAGAAGGCATATCTTTGCTTGCAAATGTCATTCAATTCTGCTGTGATACTTTAGGCAACATCTTCCTTTAAAAATCCAAAAGTCACATTCTGGAATCAGTTATTAATTTTCTATGCTAGTCAAAAAGAGGTAGAAAGGTTCAATGTTGACGCTGTTGAATTCTGACCCCACAAAACAGTTCAAAGGAAGATTGACTTCTAAATTCAAATTAGAGAACAAGGTTAGTGTCACGGTTAAAGCACCAGCCTAAAAATTTAGTCACTTTAAGTCCTAGTCCTGCCTTACAGCCATGGCGGTACAGTGGATAGAATGTAGTATTGCAGGCTAATTCTGTCCACTGCCAGCAGTTTGATCCTGACTGGTTCAAGGTTGATTCAGCCTTCCATTCTTCTGAGGCTGGTAACATGAGGACCTAGATTATTGGAGGCAATAAACCACTTATAGGGGGCAGTAAGGTACTGTGAAGCAGTATATAAGTCTAAGTGCTATTGCTTAGACATGAAAGCAGTTGGGACACCTGGGGCCTGTCATTGTCTCTCAGCCCTGGGAAGGAGGCAATGGCAAATCTTGTCAAGAAAATTGCAAGGACTTCCCAGGCACTCGCCAGGAGTCAATGATGACTCAAAGACATAAAAAAAATTGTCAGAAAAAAAATATGGTTTCGGTATATCCCTATCTTTTAGCAAATGTTTTTCCCTGTTATATTCTGATGGCAGGCGTTTTGTGCCAAGTTAGCAAAGAAAAGAATTACAGCTTCATTCCTATACGCACGTAGGCACCTCATTTATTTCCTCACCTCCCTCCTTTGCATATACTTTCCTGATATTAAAGTCAATTGAATAATAGTTGTCTGAAATATATACTTCTGTTGTGATTGGCTGCATAGTAATGTCCATTAGCCATTTTTTTTACATGGTCTCATGTCCCGAATAATGGAGCATATAATAATCTGGTTTAAAACAGCATGATGTGATCCATCAATGCTCCCTTATTTCTTCGCGTTCAGTACATTTAGTTTCTGCTTTGATAATTTTAAGTCTTTGTTCACGGTTTTTTCATTTTAAATTTTGATTGTATGTGCCTTTGTTAAGTGAGGTAACTTAGATGTCCTGGTGGCCTTTGGTCTTGTTATACCATCATTATAACCTATTCATGGAAGGTTAATAGTTAGAGGACTGCCTTCTGATGTAGCATCACTGGGTATACAAAATCATATAAATCAGATAATCGTATCTGTATTCTTTTCTTGGCAACAGAGTTGAAAGGGACCTTGGAGGTCTTCTAGTCCAACCCCCTGCTCAAGCAGGAAACTCTACCATTTCAGACAAACAGTTGTCCAATCTCTTCTTAAAAACCTCCAGTGTTGGAGCGCCCATAACTTCTGGAGGTAAGTCATTCCACTGATTATTTGTTCTAATTGTCAGGAAATTTCTCCTAAGTTCTAGGTTGCTTCTCTCCTTGATTAGTTTCCATCAGGGGTGGGATGCTACTGGTTCTGCCTGGTTCTATAGAACCAGTAGCTCTGAAGAGCAGCAGACACTGAACCGGTTCTGTGTCTCCTACTGTTTGGCCCAGGCTCTTACCTGTCCTTTATTTCCTGTTTTTTTTAACCTCAGCTGCTTTCCCCGGCACAGCTCAGGTTGAAAAAGCAGGAAAAAAGAGGCTTTTCAAACACTGCAAACACACGCGCAGAGCTTTTCAGCTGTCCAGGTGGCACAGCTGATTTTTTTTTACACGGGTGCGTAGCAAAACGTACTAACTGGTAGTAACACCGGTTGAATCCCACCCCTGGTTTCCATCTGTTGTTTCTTGCCTTACTTTGCCTGGTGCTTTGGAAAACAGCCCCACGCCCCCCTTTTTTTTCTTTGTGGCAGCCCCTCAAATATTGAAACACTTCTATCATGTCACCCTTAGTCTTTCTTTTCATTAAATTAGACATACCTGCAACCGTAATTCATATGTTTTAGCCTCCAGTCCCCTAACCATTTTTGTTGCTTTTCTCTGCACTCTTTCTAGAGTTTCAACCCAGAGAAATCATTTGCTATTGATCTCGTCCTGCATGGGTTGCGAACCTCCTTGTTGATTTCAGATCTCCTTCCTTCACACTTACAGACCTACCGGCTCTCACTCCCCCATCCTGTGTTACTTTTAGTTTTTTCCCACTGTTTAGACTTTGCTAGTAAGGCTGCCACTAATAACCATTCATGTGTCCACCAGTTCCACTCTCAGCACCAACAAAACTACATTATATCAAGGTGGAAAATAAACCAGAGGTGGAATTCAACCAGTGTAACATTCGGTTCGGTGAACGTGTGCTTCGTGCATGGGCGTGCACCAAATGCACACTTTGTGTGTGAGCAGCATTTGCAACTCACCTTCTGCTGCCAGCCCTGTGTGTAAAACAGCAGGAATCCACTATGCTGCGTGAACCAGCTGAGCTGGAAAACCCCAAAATAAAGCACAGACTAGAGCCGGGGCAGGCCGGTGGGCCCAACAGCTGATTGTCAGAATGAACCGGTTCACTCCCAGCTGATCTTCGGAGATACCAGTTCTCCCGAACTGGGCCAAACCAGTCGAATCCCACCCCTGAGATAAACTAGGATATGTTGTATTGCATTCATCCATTTCCAGAGTCAATTTTGGCCAAATGTCTCCTGTGCTAAAATATTTTCAAAAGAAATAGCTTCTCCTTCCTAGGTCCAAGGTCACCATCAGAAGTTTTCCAGGAATTGTCAACAAAGTGAATCACAAGGGAAAAAGAGAGTAACTTCTTTGGTTGTGGCCCTCGCCATGGTGTTGTGGTTCACCAGCAGCAGGTGCAGATGGCTGAAGTCTCAAAGAGCGAGGACTCAGATAAGGGGCCTGTGATGCAGGGATGGGGCCAGAACCATCAGGGAGTGGAATGCTGCCTTCAGAGATTGTGGAGGCTGGCAGCAGTGATGAAGAGGCCCCCGAGGAGCCTATGCCCAGTGCGCGTGCGTGCAGGGCTGCTCGAAGGAAAGAGCAGCTGCAGCAGAATGGGCGACTTGGGAGTAAGGCTGCAAAGTAATGGCCCCTCCCTCAAGAGGTAAAAGTCAGCCGAGAAACCGGAGTTCTTTGCAGGAAGCAAAGAAGTTTTTGCACTCAAGCCTTGTGGATGTTTGGAATATCTTGGTTGGTGTTTGGAGACTCTTTGTGTTTGAAATATTTCTTAGTAACTTTATCTAGTGTTCTTGGCAGCTTTGCACCATCTTGGCAAGGCTCGTTCTTTTCAGAGATAATTAATTTGAAACAGCCTTTTAACCATGAAGGAACAGAATTTGTAAATAATCATTAAAAGTTTTTTCCGTTACTTCTGTTTCGTGTTTGTTTCCTTGGAACAAGGTTTGGGTCAGAACACACAGACATTCATATATACATACATACATACATACATACATACATACATACAAGCATACATATTAATAGATATTAACATACTGTATGAATATATATATATATATATATATATATATATATATATATATGTGTGTGTGTGTGTGTGTGTGTGTGTGTGTGTGTGTGTGTGGCTTGGTGGGCATGGCTTGGTGGGCATGGCAGGGGAAGGATACTGTAAAATCTCCATTCCCACCTCACTCCAGGGGGAACGAAGGTTATTGCAAAATCCCCATTCCCTCCACACTCCTGAGGGAAGGATACTACAAAATCCCCATTCCCTCCCCACCCCACTAAGCGGCTTTCCAGCTCCGTTCTCCTGTGCAGGGCAACAAAAGAAGACCCAGCCGATCAGCTGGGACTCGGGAGGCAGAGAATAGATGAGTGTGGGGACAGTCAGGGGTGGTATTTGCTGGTTCTCTGAACTACTCAAAATTTCGGCTACCAGTTCTCCAGAACTGGTCAGAACCTGCTGAATACCACCTCTGATATTCATACTGTATCTTAATATCATTTTTTGGGTATCAGGAAAAATATGTGCATCTTGTCTAAATACATTTCTATGGTATTATAGTCCTTATTTCTGTATTGAAATCACAAATCGTTCCGTTTTGTTCTCCTCCAATATTTCTTAATTGCATTGGGTAGTGTGGTTGCTCAGATAAAATCTGCCTGTGTGGTCATAAAGACTTAACACTGTCATGATGGTGTTGATGATTCACCAATGGTCTTGCTATTTGTGTGTATGGGTTTCTCAAAATTTCTTTTAAATATGATTTTGGATTGTTTGCAAATACTTGATGGAACATTGCAAGCTACTGACCAATCTGCAGTAGAACAGAATGGAATTAATCAAAGCAGAAGAATAACCAAAATCTTTTAAAGACTTAAATTATTATATCCATGGATAGTACCCACCTGCAGATAATCCAATGAACAAGGTACTAAAAAAGGTGAATTCAATGTCTTGTACAATATATTTACCACTCATCAAGACCGCAGAAGTAATTGCTGTAATATTAGCTACCACCAAACAGCCTTTCCTGAAAAATAAAAGATATCATAGGAATAAGAAGCTGGAGAGAAATCAGTAAGTACTTGATATCCCCCAACAGCCACATGTAACATTTTAGGGGATTTTGAGCCTTGTTTTCACTCCAACTTACATGGCTGTTCCTGTGAGAAGTTGGCTTGCTGTCAGGAATCCAGCAATTGCTCTAATTAAATCATGATTCTTGAGCCAAACTTCAAAAAACTTCAAAGGATTTATTAGAGGTGACATACTGGCACTGCTCTGTATGAAACCAACTCTGGCATACATAATTTGCAGTCACTTATCACCCTGTTTTCCCCCTCCCTCCTGGGTGTCTCATAAACCAGATCCTCCAAGTGAGCACATTCACGCGCTGGGTGTCATCATCCACATTCTCCAATTAAATATATTCATGGCCAAAAGCTCTGGTATTTTAGTTACAATCTTTTAAAGATAAGAGTTGGAATGTACTTTTGATTTCCAAGTGCTGCACTGCTCTTCCAGATTTCCTCTCCCCCTTTTTGTATGGCAACTACTAAAACAGGCATAGGAATGTTTTATGAGTTAACAGTTGCAAGCATCAGCATGGCTACGTTGCATTGAAATTTTGAAAGAAATGAATTAAAAATGTAATGAATTTTCAAAAGAGGGAGAAAATGTGGCAGCCAGCCAGAGCAGGAAATGGGCTAAGGAAAAATATCCAGATAATTTCTGAATGAGTGAGAGGTGTTGATCAGCGGTTACAGGCAGTCCTCGACGTTTGACCACAATTAAGCCCAGAATTCAAGTTGCTAAGTGAAAAAAATTGTTTAAGTGAGTTATCCCCCCATTTTACAACTTTTTTTTCCACGCATTTGTTAAGTGAATCACCACAAGTTGTTAAATTAGAAACACTGTTTGTCAGCTTTGGAAGCCATATTGAGACCAGACGTTTCCACACTGCCACATTCTTGAGCCTGGAAAAGTGGGAGGAGAGAATTTCTTGGAATGTACGGGGTTAGACATAATAGCATTCTTCTTCTAAGTCAAGGTCATGTGGTTTCTGCACCTGGGTGAAGGGAAGTCTCAAGCTGGGACGGATGGTGATCAGGGCATGTGATGTAATGATGGGTGCAGGGGGTGGATTTGTAGTTTTAACTTATTGCAAGGAAGGCCGGAACTTTCAGATTCGGGATTTCCTAGATGTGCCAGTTGACTACTCTAATAAAAAGAATCTTGGAGAGGATGTCTGTCTCAGAGTTACTTGTTGGAGTGGAGGTTTTCTGGAATGCTGACATGGTTGTTAAGTGAATTTGACTTTCCCATTGATTTTGCTTGTCGGAAGGTCGCAAAAGGAGATCACGTGATTTTGGGACACAGCGACTGTCTAAAATATGAACCAGTTGTCAAGCAACCAAATGTAAATCACGAGACCATGGGGATGTTGCAATGGTCATCAGAGTGAAAAAATGGTCATAAGTCACTTTTTTCAAAGATGTTGTAACTTTGAATGGTCACTAAATGAACTGTTGTAAGCATCTCTATAGTCACATGATTGAAATTCAGTAGTTGCAATGTGTTGTGGCCTATCAGCCGCTGGCCTCTCCAGCAGTCAAATCAGAGTAGGAAGAGGCAATGTGGGAGCATCAAGGCAATCTGGGAGCTTCGTGGAGGAAGAGGGAATGGAGCTGGCAGAGAGAGAGAGAGAGAGAGAGAGAGAGAGAGAGAGAGAGCTGTCCATCAGTCCTAGATGGAGAGTCAGCAGCCCCCAGATCTGGAGGTGGCTGATGAGGAAGAGGAGGAACAGTTAGATCCAATGCCTGAAGCATAGATGTGCAGAAGGCAGAGGAGAGGAGAGCAGTGGAATTCTATGGATCGGTCCTTGGGACGGAAAGCCACTGCTGCTAGCGAAGTCCCACCCTAGCTGAATAGGTGTGGCAGATAACTATTCCTCTCCCGCCTGGACAGACTTGTTAGCCTGCAGTGAGAGAGAAACTTTTTGCTGGGCACTCCTAATAAAGGAGTGAGTTAACTTCGGAGGGTTTGTCGTGTTTGGGGAGCTGGGTCAGAACATAATGATTGCAACATCCATGGGGTCATATGATCGTTATTTTCAACCTTCCCAGCTGGATTCAGACAAGCAAAATCAATGAGAAGCTGGATTTGCCCAATGACCATGAGATTCACTCAATAAGTGAAGTGACTCATTCAACAACTGTGTAAAAAAGGTCACAAAATCAGGTGTGACTCATTTAACCACCACTTTTCTTAGCAATAGAAATTCTCATCTCCCCTGTAGTCATAAATTGAGGAGTACCTCCAAAATCTAACAAATAAGCATGTGAGTACATAAACCTCTATGAAACTGAAAAGAACAAAGGGAAATAGCGGTATTTTTATGTACACAATAATATATCCAGTAATAAAGAAACCAACTGGCGCTGTGTTGATGTCACTACCCTGGTAGCTGAAGGGGCAGGTGTTGCTGTAACTTTGAATAGTTACTAAGCAAACTCTTGTAAGTAGAGAACTGTCTATGGAAGAGGAAAATCAGGAGTATCATTATAGATGGAACCCTTTCTTTATATAGTCACTTCATGAAAATCTATAATTAAAAAGATACAAACGAATACAAACTTAAAAAAAAAAAGAAATTACAAAAAAGAAAAAAATAGAAAAGTACCACAATATTGTCCAATAAAACTTCTTCCTGTTTCATAATGTTTTTGAAACACAAACATAGAGATAGATACGCTCAAGGTTAATTTCCAGAACTATTGTTCTAAAAATATCCTTCAATATGTCCAATGTTAAAATGTTTCCTACACGCTCTATTAATCGATATGGAGTCAAAATGAAATATGAAATTAAGAAATATGGATGGAAACTTATCCAACTTATCTTAGTTCCAGCCTGGAACTAAAACTTCCTGACAGTGAGAACAATTAATCTCAATCTGCAAGCTGTAGTAATGAAAACTGGAAAAAAAGACACAATTATGTATGAAGAAGAACAATAATGATGTTACCAAAAAAAAAGACAGTCTTAGAACTGATAATGAAGATATCAAAGTGGTGGATAGCTTCTGCCTGAGGGAGGAAAGGGGATAGGATGGTGGGGGGCTTCTGTGGGGCAAGCCTGATGGAGAGAAGGGGGTAAGATTTTAGGGTCTTAGGAAAGGCTAACAGGGTTGGGGCTATTCTGATTTCCAAAAGGAATTAGTTTGTCAGAATCTTTACATTAATATCTGCCAAGCGTGCTTATCTAAACTTACTAAAGTTTGAACAGAAATCTAGTAACTATTTCAGGTGCTTAAATTACTTTTCGCTGAGCGGTTGTTGTTGTTAATATTATTATTATTAAACTTTTATTCATTAAACATGAAACTCAGTCAACTGAACAATTAAAAATGTATCACAAATATCCACTTTTTCCACTTTATGTTCCCATGATTTTTCAGATACAGGTAAGTTGTGTTTTTTACATCATGACCAGTGGATTAAATTAGCAACTCGGACATGTTGGCAGTTTGGATTGTCAGTTAATTTTTTTCATCTTTGCTTTCATGGCATTAGTTTGTAGTGATTTGTTCTTGAGCAGCAAGTATTAAACCTTCCATTTCTTTCTTGATGGTTTCCTTATTAAGCCATGCTCATGTCAAGTTGTTATCACATTTTCCTTCAATGTTTTTCAAGTGCTGTCCATGCAAAGCTTTGGTTTTCTTTCCATTTAGTCTGTCATTATTATTGTTGTTGTTGTTATTGTTATTTAAACTTTTATTCATTAAACATGGAACAGTAAACATGAAACTCAGCCAACTGAACATTTAAAAATATATCACAAATATAATTGACTGGTGCTGATGGTTGATGCAGGTTACTGCTAGCATCCTAGGTATCAAGCAAGTTGTTGTTATTGTTATTATTATTGTTGTATTTTTGTTGTTATTATTAGTAGTATTACTACCTCTTTTATTCATTAAGCATGAAATTCAGTCAACTGAACATTTAAAAATGTATCACAAATATCATTGACTGACGCTGATGGTTGATACGGGTTGTTGCCAGCATCCTAGGTATCAACCAAGTTGTTGTTATTGTTCTTATTATTGTTATTGTTATTATTATCATCAACATCATTATTATCATTATCATTTCACTATGTTAACTGGAGGGAGTGATTTATGGATAGAATGCTGGCACATATATATTACTAAATAAACCATAAAAGCAACTTACCTGCCAAGGATATCAGCCAAAAACCCAGCCATCACTGAGGCAAATATACCTCCAAGTGGGATTATAGAAACAATGATTGCCAACTCAAGTAATTTAAACTTTGGATGAGTAATCACTTGGAAAGTTATGGGGTTATAATATTCTCGCAAGAGCTAGAAGAGAAACACAAAGCATACACGTGGCATCAAAAACACTAGTTGGGGGACCAAATAAATTTCGGAGGGTAGTGATACCTCTGGATAAATGTTAGAAATTACCTTACAAATGGCCTTGTGGTTTATTTCATTGATAAAAGAACATTACAATTTGCAAACTCAAGAATGACATTCATTGAAAGAAAGCCCCATTGGCAGTATAGAATATAGGGAGAGGGGTGGAACGTGGACCATGTATTCTTATGTTATCCATCTTATATGACCATCATTCCTTTTTTATTTAATAACTTTTTTTTAGCAAAAATGAAAGTGGGAATCAGAAAGCATTTATTTACCTCTTAATAGATTAGTAACAATGCTAGGATCAACAAGCTTTGCTTAGACATATTAAGCATGTCAGCATATTAACTTGCAACATTTAGAATCAGATAGATAGATAGATAGATAGATAGATAGATAGATAGATAGATAGATAGATAGATAGATAGATAGATAGATTCCTGTCTCAGGAACGGCTCTGGAATTTCCCCCCCCTCCTTTGCTGGTACTTTGCTTGTGTGGAATGACCATTCAAAGTTACAATGGCACTGAAAAAAGTGACTTATGACCATTTTTCACACTTACAACTGTTGCAGCATCCCCAAAGTCATGAGAGGCCAGGCGAGGAGACGCGTGCCTCAATGTGAATGATATTGAGTTGACCACATCCAGCCAATAACATGACTATCAAGCCATGTCCACCAAGTCACATGACCACCAAGCCACGCCCACCACATAAGCCATGCCCACAGAACCGGTTGTTAAAAATTTTTTGAATCCCACCCCTGGCCGAATCGGTAGTTGAACTGATTGGCTGGGCAGCCAACCCTACCCTGCCTCTAACAGGAGTCTCCACGTGGCCCATTTTGAATGCAGATAAGTGCAGGGTCCATGTGGAGGCTCTGGAAGGGCAAAAAACAGCACTCCCAGAAGTTCTGGAATTCTGGAAATGGGCCTGTTTCTGGCTTCTGGAGGGCCTCTGGAGCCTGGGGAAGGCCGTTTTTGCCCTACCAGAGGCCCAAGGGAAGCCTCTGGACTCTGGGGACGGCAAAAAAAAAATGCCCCCCTGGAAGTGCAAATAGACCACGCCCACCATGGCCACACCCACCAAGCAACTGGGCACAGAAGCAGTTGTTGGGATTTTTGAAGCCCACCCCTGGATAGATGTAGATAGATAGATAGATAGATAGATAGATAGATAGATAGATAGATAGATAGATAGATAGATAGATAGGTAGGTAGGCAGGCAGGCAGGCAGACATAATTACTTGAGGGATTGAATCTTATGCAAACCCCTTAGATCAGTGGTCCCCAACCACCGGGCCCCGGACCGGTACCGGTCCGTGGATCATTTTGTACCGGGCCGCCTATTTTGCTTGGGTGCCGCCATCTTGTTTCGACGGCGCTTGAGAAAGTGCTTCCGGGTGAGCTTGTCAGTCGTCTGTTGGAAAGCGGCATTTGGGTGCTGAAGGAATCCTCGCGCCTTAGTTTCGTCGAGGGGGGGGGGACGGCTTCGAACGAAGAGCCGTCCCGATGGCGGTGGAGTCTCGCGTTACTCAGGAGGAGATTAAGAAAGAGCCCGAAAAGCCCATCGACCGTGAGAAGGTACAAAGGAGGAGTTGAAGGTGGCAGGGAGAAGCAGGGGATGGCTGGCTGGCCGGTTGCTCGGCTCGCCTTGCCTTGGTCATGTGTGCTGATGCCGGTACCGGTCCGTGGATCATTTTGTACCCGGCCGCAAAGAATGAATAATCGTGAAACTGGTCCCTGGTACAAAAAAGGTTGGGGACCACTGCCTTAGAAAGAAATTTGCATTAAAGGAAGGTCTTACCACACCAGGTGAATAAACTATCCAGATAAAGTAACCATGGTGCACGCTTAAGATGCTGGATGCAAAAGAAACCCAAAGAAGTGACTTTGTCATCTCCTATTAAAAAGAAATAGCACACTGTGAGTTGAACTGACTTTTTTAAAAATTGAAATGATTTTTTTAATTAAATAAAGTTAACATAATCCTTCGAATTGTCATAATTATGGAACCACAACATGTACACACAAAAATGCATGTATCTAGATGTCTATGGAGATTCTCAGTCTTCAGAGTCATGGTTGTCCCAAAGGTGCTTTGTTTTTCCTTGATGGAATAGGCCAACTCACCACGGTCAATTCACCACAGCTGCAGACAACTAGCCATGGCCAACTTGCTGTGGGACAATTCAACAATTCAATCTAATTATTTAAAATAGCAATAGTGCTTAGACTTATATACTGCTTCACGGTGCTTTACAGCCCTCTCTAAGCAGTTTACAGAGTCAGCATATTGCCCCCAACAATCTGGGTCCTCATTTTACCCACCTCAGAAGGATGGAAGGCTGAGTCAACCTTGAGCCTGGTGGGATTCGAACTGCTAAATTGCAGGCAGCCAGCAATCAGAAGAAGCAGAAGCCCATTATAACATTTTTTTTTGCTTCAAGTTAATAGAGTCATTAATCTTTATGTACCTAAAATAACCCCTAAAGCCAATAAATAAATAAATTACCCATAACAATAAGAAAGTAGAACATAACCTACTTCTTAGTAAGCTAGAAAAAAATGGAATAGATAGCACCACCACTAGATGTACTCGCAACTGGCTGACAAAACATACTCAACAAGTAGTCCTTAATGGGTCTAAGTCTACATGGAGGGAAGTAAGCAGTGGGGTGCCACAAGGTTCTGTCTTAGGCCCAGTACTCTTCAATATCTTCATTAACGACTTAGATGAGGGAGATGATACTAAAAAGCTAATGCAATCCTAAATTTCATTAATAGAGGAAATACAATCAAGATCAAGTGAGGTACTAATACCACTCTATAAAGCCTTAGTAAGACCACACCTAGAGTACTGCATCCAGTTTTGGTCACCACATTATAAAAAAGATGTTGAGACTCTAGAAAAAGTGCAGAGAAGAGCAACCAGGATTATTAGGGGACTGGAGACTAAAACACATGAAGAACGATTACAGGAACTGGGCATGGCTAGTCTAGTGAAGAGAAGGACCAGGGGAGACAGGATAGCAGTCTTGCAATATTTGAGGGGCTGCCACAGAGAGGAGGAAGGGGTCAAGCTATTATCCAAAGCACCCAAAGACCAGACAAGGAATAATGGATGGAAATTGAACAAGGAGAGATTTAACCTGGAAGGAAATAAGGAGAAACTTTCTGACAGTGAGAACAATCAACCAATGGAACAGCTTGCCCTTGGAAGTTGTGGGAGCACCATCACTTGAGACTTTCAAGAAGAGATTGGACTGCCATTTTGTCAGAAATGGTGTAGGGTCTCTGCCTTGGGTGGGGGGGGTGTTGGACTAGATGACCTATAAAGTCCCTTTCAACTCTGATTATCTGTTATCTGTTATCTGCTTGAGCAGGGGGTTGGGCTAGAAGACCTCTCAAATCCCTTCCAACCCTATTATTCTGTTATTTTCTGTGATATTGTGGCAGGTTTTCATGGAAGTGTTTAAGTTATGGAACAGAAGAAGAAGCCTTAGAAGACTTCAGAAATGAGGGCTAAATGCTTACCTATAAGCTTCAAAAGATAACTACAATCCCATATGTTTGTCTGAGAAATGTATTTGGTAAAGGACACTGAACAGCTCATGAATCTGACAGCAGCAGCTCAAGAACATGGGATGGAATATATTCATGTCATCTTCCCCAGGCTTATTACGTGGAGAAATGGGGAATGAGGATTGCAATGACGCACCCACCAACTTGTCCCCTCCCAAAAAATCAAGGTGATATCTATGAGAAGTGACTGGAGTCCTATCCCTTCTGCATGTACCCCAAATTTACACATGTGTACCCAGAGAATGTTGATCATGCACTTGTGACTGTCATGTTAACAATGCATAGAACAGATTGATTTATTTTATATGCAAGGATGAGGGTTTTTTGCTCATTGAAACTATTAGCTCTGTTTCACATAAATCCAAATGGATGTCCTGATTTAACTTCACTTTAATGTATTTTGCAGTCCGCTTCCTGAGTGAGTCACACATAATTCCAGGGGATAGTATTTTCTATGGAAAAACTATAGATTTGGAATGATTCTCCACTGGGCCATCAGAACAGGTAGTCTTTGACTTCTGACTACAATTGGGAGCAGAGTTCCTCTTACTAAACAAGGCAATTGTGCCTGATTTTTTGCCATGGTTGAGAAGCAAATCACTGCAATTGTTAAGTGAACCACATGGTCATTAAGTAGCACTAGCACTTAGACGTATATACCACTTTACAGTGCTTTACAGCCCTCTCTAAGAGGTTTACAGAGTCAGCATCTTGGCCCCAACAATCTGCGTCCTCATTTTACCCACCTCGGAAGGATGGAAGGCTGAGACAACCTTGAGCCTGGTGGGATTTGAACTGCAAAATTACAGGCAGTCAGCAGTCAGCAGAAATAGCCTGAAGTACTGCACTCTAACCACTGCACCACCATGGCTCAATCTGGCTTGCTCTATTGATTTTGTTTGTCAGAAGCCAGTGGAAAGGTCACAAATCGTGATCATATGACCCCAGGATGCTGCAACCATGGTTAATACATGTTGGATGGATTTTTGATGCTGTAATGGTTGTAATTGTGAGGACAAGTTGTAAATAACTTTTTTTCAATACCATAACTTTGACAGTTCCTAAACAAATGGCACACGACGAGAACTATCTGTAATGCTCTAAGATGTAGGACAGAAGTCCTCTTCATGTTACTTTGCAAAGGTGCTCTTCTTCACTGTGATGCTCTTTTCATGGAATTTCCCCACAATAGATAACAGCTTGATATATTTTCTCATGAAAAATCAATATCAAACCGCCTCACCAGTTTCTAAAAGAGCTGGGTTTAAAACATTTGATTTTTTTTTATAGGTGTCTTCTGTATTTGCTGATTTTTATGACATGGATCGTGTCAACCATCCGAGAAATTATATATATTATCTTTATTCCAAAGGTGCTTTTTCAAGAGGCAACTGGATTTTCTTGTTTTTCTTTGAAGATGTTTTGCTTCTCAGCCAAGAAGCTTCTTCAGAGGAGAAGCAAAACGTCTTCAAAGAAAAACAGAGCTGAAGAAGCTTCTTGGATGATGACAGCTTTGATTGTCATCATATAGTTTGTCAAATTCCAAGTAATGCAACCCCGAGGTAAACCCCAAGTTTGTTCAAACTCACACTTTTTGGAGATGTCTTCAGGACTTCATGCTCCCTGACTCGTTTAGTTATTATTTGTACACTTTTCTTGGATTCAGCCATGTTTATGTCTGCTAATGGGGAGTACCTGTGGGACAATGAGAACAAGCTTGACAGTTGGTTATCTAGTATCTATTCTACTATATTTTTATATATATTTTCAAAGTCAAATGGGATGAAATAGATAAATCCAGGAAGGAACAATCCTTTCAATCAGAAATTCAAAAATATATTGACTCTGGAGAGCTATAAAATGCAACCAAGCCAATCCATCATGTCCAAGAGTTGGCAGGATTATTTGACCATAAAAACTTCTTACTTTGAACCCACACCTATCTATGCACTCATACTCATATACACATGCATGCGTGTACGGGAAAGAATATTGTGACGTATTTTGATAATTGAAACACTAAAGGGATTTTTATGATCCCTTGACCATTGGTGACTCTTTAGGGGGAGTTTGCTAATTCATTATCCTTGGAATTCCTTGAAGAGCAGAACTGAAGGAATCCAGGAACTGATTCATCCAAGCTATCTAAACTGCCATAGAAGGGAAAGCTATAAAACCAGTCCACCTGACTCAGTCTCTCATAACATGAATGAACAAAGAAAACAGTCTTTATCTAGCTTTCCCTGTGGGTGAGGAAAGATTCTAGAATTAACCCAAGTTGAATGATCTTTTGCTTGAAACAATATTTTGAATTCAAACTCCAACAGCTCATCAGTAGCCAATCAGATGAAGGACCTCAGACTATTCCAAGAGAATCTGTTGACAGTTGAAAGTGGAAATTGATTGTCTCTGTCAAGAAAATAGGATGAAAGTTTCAAAGCAACTGAACATGCTCGTTTCTGGTGGTGAAGGAAACAAAGATGAATTAAGGGAAAAGAAAAAGAAGAAAAGCCACCTACTTGTGCATAAACGCACTCGTCGGTGTCTATTAGGTCTCTTTTGCACCGAATTTTAATTCTGTCATCTCAAAAGCAGGGTGGATAGTGTCAACATATCTTCTTCAACGGCTTTTGTTATATTTGTTTTTGAAACACTAAATATCTGAAAGTGCCGTCAAACTATTGGTTTACACATCTCCCAATATTTCATGGATCAAAATAGGTGCATGAAAGAAGAGCCAGTTTGGTGTTGTAGTTGAGATGTTGGCCTTAAACCAGGAGGTGGTGGGTTCTAGTCCTGCCATGTCATCAAAGCTTCCTGGAGATTTTTGGGCCAGTCAGTCTCTTTCAGCCTAACCCACTTTTAGAAGGCTGATTTTTGTGGGGAAAATAGGAGGTGGAAAGAGTACAGGTAGTCCTCAAGTTACAACAGTTCATTTAGCGACTGTTCAAAGCTACAATGGCACCGAAAAAAGTGACCATTTTTCACATTTATGACCTCCCCATGGTCACGTGATCAAAATCCAGGCAACCGACTCATATTTATGATGATTACAGTGTCCGGGGGGGGGGTCACTTTTGCAACTTTCTGACAAGCAAAATCCCCGGGGAAGCCAGATTCCCTTAACAGCCCTGTTGCTAATGTAACACCTGCAGTGACTCACTTAACAACAGTGGCAAGAAAAGTGGTAAAATGGAGCAAAATTCACTTAACCAACATCTCGCTTAGCTAACAGAAATATTGGGCTCAGTCGTGATTACCTGTATTGTACATGTTCCTTGCCTTCAGTTATTGTTTCAAATGATAAAAGCAAGA